AAACACCTCTACTCCGTACCGTGTTGCACTTTGCAGACCGGGTGTGGCTGATACTTTCTGCGCCACCTCCAAGAGTGGCGGAGGTGGCTGGTGCAATATGGGGGAATGAGTCAAAAAGAAGAAAAAGAAGTTAAAATTGGATCTTCGCAGGACATACTCAACTTAGAATAAAAGCACCAGCAGCAACCATCATTATGCCGTACCAGCTCGTCATCTTTGACTTTGACGGCACCCTGTTCGACACCTACGATGCCATCGAGCACTCCATCCAGTTGACCTTCCAACGCCTCCTGCCCTCCCATCCTCCGCCTTCGTCCAGCGACATTCGCCCGCTCGTCTCCACCGGCGCGCCTCCCGGGGACACCTTTCGCAGTCTACACCCCGATCCCACCACCTTCGACGAGTCTCTCTGGATCCCCACCTACCGCGAGCTGTATGCTATCCATGGCCAATCCCGTACGAGTCCCTATCCCGCCGCTCGCGGCGTCCTACAAGCCTTGCACGACCGGAATCAACCCATGGCCATCATCAGCAACAAAGCTGCGGTCGCAGTGAAGGCGGCCCTGGAGAAGACCGACCTGTTGCAGTTCTTTCCAGATTCCCTCATCCTGGGTCATGGTGTGGCCGGCGTCCAGCGAAAGCCGGATCCGTCCAGCTTCACAGACGTGCTCTGGCCGAACTGGAAGGCTCTCGGGGCGCCCGATGCTGTGGAGGCGGAGCGCGTGCTGATGGTCGGAGACACATTGACGGACATCCTATACGCAAGAAACATTGGGGCACAGGTGTGCTGGTGTCGGTACGGTCAGGGCGACGTTGAGGAGTGCCAACGGCTACAACCGGATCACACTGCGGAGACATTAGAAGATGTGCTTAAGATCGTGGAGGGCAGATCGTGATTGGCGAGAAACCCTCTGGCATCTCGCTCATGACAAGGCACGATGGTGTAGGCAGCTCTTCGTTTTTCACGCGATGCGCATAGACTTAGATCCACATAGACCTATTGCTCGTCTCAGTTCCCCGATACTGGGGATCAAGGCACCCCACATCTCCCCCTTTCACCAGCCTACTGGTCTGCAATCTCCGGGAGAGTAGCAATCCCGGGGATGCCTCTAACCTAACTAAATGGAGTGTGTGTAACTGCGTCGTTGAATAGGTCCCCGGTTCGTGTAGGTGCCAGTCTAGTAAATGAGAGTAGTCTCTCCTTGCTGGCAGATAGGAGGCACCGGCCTGGTGTGAGTCCCAACTTTCCCCTGTCCTTGCCAGCGGGCCTTGTCATTTCGCTCTTCAAGCGTGGTCCGGTCGATACTGAATCCATCCAGATCCTTCGTCGCCGTGTCAACTACGCACATGCAATATGACGTCACATCCCTGGTTGGCCGGTGCGGGGAGATTCCACGCGTCTCAGGAACCATCTGAACCGTTGTTGTCAGTGCATCCTCACCCCAGGTTCTTGTTGGCTTCCTGTATACTTCCTGACTGCTCCACCATTGGCGCAACGACAGTATGGCCTTTGCGCGTCGGCTCGCCATCCTCCCCGGTGGCCTAGGTAGGCATTGCCTCAACCCTCGTTACATTCTCGTGCTGGGTATTGACTGCCTGTCCCCGATAAGGCGGCCTGGGCTCGAGTATCGGCAAGAAGCTCCGCCAACAAGGTGCTCGGCTAGCTATTCTGTATGCCCCCTTCGAGGCTGCCCGACGCGATGAGCTGCTAGAGGCTGGCTACGGCGAGCTACCCGCGGGCGAGGAAATCCGAACGTATGAATGCGACATCACAAACCCCGAGGCTGTCCAGTCCGTCTTCACCACCCTGAAGGAGGACGTTCTCAACCCATCATCGACGACGACGCAGTCTGCCCGTGCCTTCCCCAGTATCCTAGTCAATACGGCCGGCTATGTATCGCTCAGTGATCTAGAGCTCACCCCGCCGGAAGAAACGCTGAAGCATCTGCATACCAATGTCCTGGGCCCCATGCTGTGCTCGCAGGCATTCGCGCGATTGTACTTGGCCGCCGCTGAGGTGGCTCATTCGTCACCCAACCCGCCGCCTCCGGGTCGCATCGTCAACCTGGCCTCGCAAGCCGCACATGTGGCCCTCCATCGCCACGGGGCCTATTGTGCCTCCAAGGCAGCCCTGTTGGGGCTAACGCGCAGTATGGCTTCTGAATGGGGAGGCCGCGGTATCACAGCGAACAGCGTGTCGCCAACGGTGGCCTGGACCGCTCTGGGACAGAAGGCCTGGGGGCAGGATGATGTGCGGGAGGCTTTCTTGAAGACGATCCCGACAGGCAAATTTGCGCAGCCAGATGAGGTTGCGGATGCGGTTCTATTTCTTTGTCAGGTACGCAGCTGACCCACTGACTGAGGAGTGTTTCCGATTGATTCTTATTCGTAAAACAGGACTCAAGTGGGATGATCAATGGAGCGGACATTCGCGTAGACGGTGGCTTTACTATCAGGTAAACTGGACCGAGATTTGACCTTGACCAGTTGGAGGTCCATTCTATGATAGATGTCTGATGCTACATCGAGCACAAGGAATGCCAATCCGGATAGAGTGGCATTAATGAGAACATGCTTGAAGACAGTTCTTGGCAAGCCGACCCTGGTATGACAGCTCTAGTATGTATAAAGCATGCTTCCTATGTCTTGTGAGAAGTAGAATGATCATGGTGTAAATTCAAGAAGCGCTTGGAAATCAATTTTCCCCAATATCCGGCTACAGCCTAGAAAAATTGGTACAAGATGGCATCATACTTAGATCCTGTCTGTCTATAATGCCTATGCCTAATTTGAGTTTCAAACACCCAGGGATTTCAGGGTGAACACTCCTTACCGTCACACAAATTGTAACATTCATAGCGCAGTCGATGCGCCACAAGTCTGCCCAGAAAAAGTTGTCTGTCCATTGTGCCGAACGGACCAACCACGTCAATAGCATCTGGGCTTTTGGACATTGGTGGAGGTAATTTCTCCCACATTTGCTACGGGAGTTGCTCTTCGCTGGTGATACCACCAGTCTGTGGACAAGCCATTGAGGTTGTGATGCTTCCCGTCAACGAGGTCGGAATGAGCGTGGTAGTGACCCATGGAACGGCGAGAGCAGGTAATTTCTATTCCTGAGACTTCCTACCGCTGACTGGTTAGAGATAAGATTTACGGCTGAGACCTTGGATCGTATCAGTTGGCCCGTTCGGCCGGCTGGTCCAGTTTCTGCCCTGGAGTCAGCCACCGGACAGTGCCCGAAGTGACACTATTCGGGTTCGCTACACGAGCTCGAGGAACCAAGCAGCAGCGCTCTACACTGTCGCTGCATTCAAGCCACTTTTCCAACCCATGCGACTTATCTGAACAATTTCTGGGCCGCATGCAATGATCATAGTAACAACTCTTTCACCCTCAGCAGTCATAGGAACCCGCGCGTGTCCTGAACTGGTGGACGGGTTGACAGAATTTTCACCGCAAAGTTTCCCGCTCCGATCTTAATTCCCATACCTTTGGAACGGTACTACAAGCTGGGCCGTTCCAGAGTGGGCTTATTAACACGAGTGTGTCAATACGCCGCTTTCCTTGGCCATGAAAATTACCCGCGCAGCTACACCCTTACTCCTTGTAATATTCAGCTGCGCAAGGGAAAGACTCAGTAGAGGGCGACATTCCAATCAGCAGATCAACTGTAGAAAAGGCTACCTTTTAAGTAGAACACATCCCGAGAACGACATCGACAATAAGGCAGTTACACCAGAGTCTCACTCTCCCTTGGCTTATTTGATTGCCGCGATCGGCCCTGGAGCCACGGGCGCCTCAAACATGGAAGCATGGATGGAACCTCGTGGGAAGGGCTTCCAGCAATCGTATGCACGCGCGAAATAACCCCTTTGAGAATTAGGTGGGCCCAACTGGGCTTCAAGGCTGCTTCGGGGAATCGGAGGTTTTATTGTCACGAGCGGCATAGGAGCTCGTAAAGCAGTACTTACAAGACACAGCTCCCGGTTGTTGCCTACGTCCCCTTAACACGCAATGGAAGCTCCCATCTCCCGTTGAGAGGCTATACAATCGGCCGGCGTGCTATTCGCTGTCCTCTTGTTAGCTCTAGCAAGTGTCAGCAGAAGCTGTAACAGCTAAAAGGAGCCAGGCACCTGGGAGGTGCCTTCTGCTACGCCATCAGCCTAACAGATCACACCCGGTACTTCTCTGAAAAAGCAACTCTTTTGTCTTTTCAGAACATGGTGTCGAGCGCCAACACCTGGGTGTGGTTAGCGGTGGTGCTGCTAGTCAGTAAGTGATCGTCGGGGAAGACGGCGTGACAGGATGCTGATCAGTGCTGATCGCCTATCGTGACAGCCCTACTGCGCTATGTCTCCCGAACGTTGCAGATGGGAGTGCCCCGCCATCTTCAACTCGAGGATTTGTTGATGTGCTTTACTGTTGTACGCTTGACCTTTAAGTTGTCATCCAAATAACGGCCCCATGACTCACAGCCATAACAGGTCTTCTACATCTTGCTGACCGTGTTCTTGATTGAAGTGCAAAAGCATGGCACCAACGAGATCCCCAGAGAACAATTCGGTGACATCGAGCCCTCCTCCATTCCAGACCGTATCACAGGTAGCAAGCTGGTCATTGTGGTGGAGCAGATGTGGCTAGCCACCATTTGGGGTTGCAAGGCTTGCCTGCTACTGCTGTATTCAACTATGACGTGGGTTTGCCTTGCGTGAAATCTGTGACACAGCATCTGATTGTTTTCTAGCTCCGGACTCTCGCAGCATCGGATCGTGAAGATTATCGGTGCCTTCTGTGCCCTTAGCTTCGTCATTGTGGAGATCTTATTCTTTGCCGCCTGGTGTCGTCCCTTTTCCGCATACTGGTCCGTGCCGCCGAAGAACCTCCAGTGTTCCGTCTATCGCAATCACTTGATTTTGGTACTCACACTGAACATCTTAACTGACCTGATGATCATGGCCATTCCGCTACCCCTGCTGATAAAGGCGAAACTTACTTTGGTCAAGAAGGTCACGCTTTGTGCAGTCTTCTCGCTGGGGGCTTTTGTGATTCTGTGCTCAATTCTGTCCAAGTACTACTCCTTGTCTAATCCATATGGCGACCAATGGGTGGACTGGTACGTCCGCGAGGCTGCCACAGCAGTGATCGTGGCCAACATTCCTCAAACCTGGACTCTGTTTCGCCGACTGTTTAATTGGCGGGCGTTCCTGGCCCATTCGTCATACGACCGTAGCCATGGAAAATACACCAGTCGCTTGGACAGCTCGACCATCCATTTATCCCGCTTCCGCGCCGGCGATAAGTCCCAGGGCCGGTCTACGATCGACCCAACCGAATCCGGCGAGTACATTACTCGAGAGCAGCCGTTGGAGATTTGGGAGCATCGCCAGTTCCACGTCACAAATGAGCCCGAAGAGTTGCGGAAGAGCAGCAGCCTGAGCCAAAGCAGTAGTGGTAGCGTGGAATTCGACACGACCGGATACCAGACGCAGCAGTCGCGGACAATCGTGACAGCAACTGAATGATTCAGCTGTGATCCTCGGTCAACCGGTATGTAGGAGATATTTGTTGTATCATATCTAGTGTCAGAATGAATCCAAGATGCCCTCTGCCGAGTCTACTCTCCAGCTTCTCAACGGAGCGATGCTAAGCCAGAATAGGAATAGAAGTAATGACAACAGCTTCCAACCAATGATCAGTATTATATTATATCCACTTACCAGCACTAACTGCATCCAGCTTAGTGCCAGATTGAGCTGCAGGGACTAGGGACCGTTTGCCAAATCGGGAAATCGTGTATAGCCTCCAGGATTCTGGCGGCAAATATCACCATGCTGGAGGGCAGAAAAATCTCTCACTTCTACATTGTTCCCTTCTCGTGAATATCCGCTGGCAAGACATAAAAGGCACCTTGATCCCTCAAATTTCTGGTTCCCATTATCCCCAACATCATCACTCATCCACAATGCCCCAGTCCGATTCCTCTCTTAGTCTTCAAGGCAAAGTAGCTCTTGTTACTGGATCAGGCAAAACGAGAGGCATCGGCGCGGCCATTGCCACTCTTCTAGCTCATCATGGTGCAGCGGTCATTCTCAACTATGTCTCGCTGTCCACGGCTCCTTCCGCTGCCACCGTGGTGGAGAGCATCACCGCCGCGGGCGGACAGGCCCTAGCTGTCCAGGCTGACATCTCCCGGCCTGACGGAGCGCAGAAAGTTGTTCAAGAGGCTATTGATGCTTTTGGAAGGCTTGATATCCTAGGTTTGTCCACGAACATCTCCACTTCCCTGGCTCTGACGCTTGCTAACTTGGACCAGTCAACAACGCCGCTACTGGCACCCCGGGCCCGGTACTCAGCGCTGCCCCCGAAGCTCTAGCTACCACCTTCGCCGTCAACGTCTTTGGTCCAATCTACGTCATGCAGGAAGCAGTGAAACACATGCCGCCACGAAGTCGGGTCATCAACATCGGTTCGGTGGCGTCCAAGTTGGGTATCTCGGGATCGTCAGTCTATAGTGCTTCAAAGGCGGCGATGGATGCGCTGACGTTTTCCCTTGCGATGGAGGTAAGCTGAAGACGTGGTTGAGATCTCACATAAGGAGTGTACTAATTGGTGCATAGCTTGGTCGCAATCATGGCGGCATCACCATCAACACAGTTTCTCCAGGTCCGGTAGATACAGATGGTCTGCCGCCGCAGGTGGCAGAAAGGATTAACAAGACATTGGTTCCCATGAGCCGAGTCGAGGAGCGATTGGGAACCGTGCAGGATATTGCGGATGCAGTACTGTTGTTGTGCTCGGAAAAGAGTCGCTGGATCTCCGGACAGGTCATTTCCGTCAGTGGTGGAATTGTAGGTGGCTAAAGTGCGATGGTTATGGTTATGAACCTGAGGTCTCTAGCGTTGGGAGGAAAGGTAGATAGCCATCCAGAATGTCAGTGGACAGGATACTTTGAACCAGATCCAGGCCCTCCTTGCTCCCCATGCCTAATAGGTTCAGAACAGCACTGATATCGTCACGGTACATCGATGACTGGATAGAATGACAGAGTCGAGACGTTGTTACGAGAACCCAGAGATGCAGTTTCAGACATGAGTCGTCGTAGTTGGCCTTCTCCATCTGTGAAATGAGCGTTGACAGCTTGCATCGCAGATATTCGCATTCGTGGGCGGTAAAGAGGAAGACTGCTTGCTTCAATGTGCCAAGGAATAGTAATAGCACCAGCCGGAGTGCTTCGCGTAGCTGTAGAACTGGTATGTCTGTTGTGCTAGGATTTATCTCGGTCGGCCTCGACATGGAAAGTAGGAAATGTGTGGCTGGCCCAAACAGTTCTATTACAGTGAGGTTATCCTCGTTTAGCCATGTTGCCTCGGAACGACAAAGGGACCCGTCGGTGTATTGAACAAGGAAGTTCGCATAATTGAAAGCAGTCGCGATATCTTTGAAACAATTATATCTTGCAACAATGTTCCCCAGTAGGTTTCTCAGAGTGGGAGAGAGGATGTTGGGGACTTGGGATGCGAATCCCGGCGGAGTTGGCAACCGTGGGCGGGAGTCTTCCATCACGCTACCCGCAACGTCAAGCCTGATGCCGAACAGTTAGCTCATACATCGATAGGATATCGACGGGATTGAAAAGATTACCAAATAGCGAAGCGCGTGATACTGTCATCTAGGCCCCGGTATCCACCCCTCAAGTGGATGATACGTCCCAGGCCACTAATATGAATTTTCCAGCGATCTAGCGTACCCACATAGAGCTATCTGCTGAATTAACATTTATCGATATATAAAATGCGGCGATTGACAAACATCGTGACAGGTCAGACCTAATATGGCCGTGATAACCCCTTGGCTGAGACTCTCATGGGTATCTGCCAGCCGGTGCGTGACCAGCCGGATGCACTGGCCGTAGTAGTTCAGACACTCTGTACTAGTCTCGTACCTGTACATCTGGGCCCGCAGGCGCTGATCAAGAAACATGGCAGCATTGGCCAAGGCCACAAGGACGGCAGTGGTGTCAGTTAATGCCAAGGAGAACCATACCGTCCGAAAGGGACGAAAAACGTAGTCGCGGTCCGTAGTCACTACGCGGGTCAGATAGGTAAGCTCGAGGAGACGCTGGTATTTTGAGGGGCATACTGAAATGCATGAGCTGTAGCGCGCGGTCGCTCATAGGGCCAGGATAAAACGTCGTATTGCATGGGTCAATCGACACTGGGATGTGCTCTGTGACGGGATCTGAAGGGGCTCTTAGGGTGACGGACCAAGTTGGTTGCCCCGGGCGAGTGCGGCGACGCGATCTCCCAATGTCGCGCATGACACGGCGCCGGATGGTGCGCTGTGTTGACGCAGACTTGAATTCGTCCGGACGCGAGACATTTACGAAGACGAAATCGTCCTCTGCTGGAGGAGATAGTTTCATGGGTGGGGGGTGGACCAGATTTATTAGGATAGCAAGCCAGAAGAGTTCAAGCAGTGAAAGTAGCGGGAATCCAAAAGGGGGTCTAAGATAACTGTCATGTTATGCAGGTCAGTTAGTAATCAGGCTGCATAACTAACCAGTGCATCAGCTGAAGGATCGAAGGATCAAAACTCGATCGAGCCCAGCAGTCCCGGGAATAGCGAGTATTCCCCAGACAAAGCTGGCAAGGAGTGATCCGTATCATTATCAAAGCCTGGCCACAGGTTCGTTGCGTCAAAGCTGACCGAAGGCAAGTCCGCTCGGTGTGCTCGGGTTCCCAAGCATAGAGGGCAATCTTGGGCGCTGTGCACATCATTAGACGACCAGTCACCCATATTGACTGTCCCACCTGCAGCCCACGGATACTCCTCAGTGGCCATCTCATGAAGCATGCGCATGATTTCTTTGTTGATGACGATGGCCGTCACTCGGGGCAAATATTCCTGGATGGTCTTTGCCGAGGACGTCGAAATACGCCTTGCTTCTCCATCATGAGACCAATAGACCGGAATGGAGTCCGCCAGGAGATCGAAAATGTCCCTCAAAGGTTCAGCTTCAGTCCACCGTTCGGACAGTACTGCCAGAATCACTGAGCATGTTCGAATGGCTGGGCCAATCTTTGGTGACTGAGTCTCGATGGATTGTTGTGATGGAGGCACCACCCACAGACAGTATAACAGTGTGATGCCTATCCCAAACTGGCTAAGGAGCTACAAGAGTTTTAGTTGCTATCCGGGGAGACGTTGATGGGGACAGCTACTCACCCCCGGCCATAGTTGAGCCGTTTGGCGGCTCTTGAGGTACTTCCAGAACGTCAATGCGATGTCGGTACAGGCTCGAATACAATGCTCCATGACCAAGTCACTCATATTCGCTTTTGTCGGTCGATAAAGGAGGAGCACTGTATAGTTGTACAGCATGCCCACCCATCCTTCGCTGGTATAGCCCTTAGAGAGCGGGTCGCTATGGGGCTCCAGCTGCGCTTTCCACTCATCCAGCACCTCGAGCATATGAAGACGCCACTGATGAGATTCAGCAAGTCGCTGGTCATAGTCTGCTCGCATCATAATGCTCAGGATGCGAGACTGGATTCTCCGACCGCGGATTAGATGAAGAGCAGACGAGACTTGTGTCCTGCGCGGGGTGGATGCATCCGGCTCCAGCCGATCAGCCCGGACTTGCCATTCTTTGATCTCGTGGTCGTTCATGTTTGCAAAAGGCTGTATTATTCAAGTCAGAGCCGCCATTTTGTTATGCTACGAGCGACATCTCACCTCAACCTGAATGTCTTCATCTACGAGAGTGCACGGGACATGATAAACCCAACTGACCAAGCGATCAATTGCGTAAGCAGACCAGAACACACGGCGGCGAATCTGCCTTTCCCAGAGCAGTTCTTGTGGCCGGTGTTCTACTTCTGACAAATGCAACTGTGCCACCACGCAGCAACGCACCGCTGCAGCGATCATGGTCAAGACCGTTTGCGAAGAAGGCGAGTGTAGTGCATGCAGTGTGCACAGTAGGTAGGCCTGTGCATGCAATACCGGGTCAAGACAAGCGAACACAGCATCCAGAGATGATGTAGCGGATGAATACAGAGCCTGTGATCTTCAGCGGGGGCACATTGCGACTTCACGGTCCTCCTACCTGAGAAACTTTCATATCCCGGGGTGATACTCGAGGTGCAATCAGAAGGCTGACCGCAAGTGCCTGTCGCTAGCTGTCAGTATGCGCTGCAGGCGAATCGCGAATAACCCACCATCTTGATGAAGAATGCCTTCCATTGCTCTTGCGGCGGCAGGGGCACACCTAAGTTCCTAGATTCTTTCCACGATTCATACCAGGCAATGAAGGTTCCTTCGTGGAGGAAGGGATAACGCGGGTTCACCCGCTGAAGAAATGTCTGGATCAACTCATCCTGGGTCTGTGAAGGGATTTCCATCTCATAGTTGGTCCCGGGAAGGAACCCTGGATAGGGAGAGCCTTGGACAACGGGGGGGAGGATAGTAACGGAAGGGGTACTTCCAGCTTGCGTGCTTTCAGCATCTCCCGGAATATGGGATGAGAGGCGAAATGCCGGAGAAGTTGCATCTTCTGCGGTCAGGGCTCGAGTCATTCGTGTTCGTGGCGGTTCAGGTGACTCTGTCGGTTGCATGTCTGCCTTACTTAGGCCTGAGGTGGTGCCCAGACCAAGAGCATGATGAGCGGTACCGCGCTGTTGAGACTCAAGCTCGATTATCCGTTCCTCCAGAACACGAGCATACCTATTGTGATCAGAATCATGCTTCCTGGCCATCAGCCTGAATGGAGATCAGCTTACTCTGGATTGACGCGACTCTTCCTAGCTGGCCGTTGACTGGGGACACAGGCTGATTCATGTCAGTCAGAACAGAATATCAACGAGAGCAGCACGATCAAGGCAGCCTTACCTGCTTCTGCCTGCACACAATTGGTGCATGGTCGAGGCTGGCTGCACTATATAGCGACCCTTGCATTAGCGGATGTGATTCAATTGGTACTAATGGGGGACTTGCTTTCTGTTTGCGAATACGACAGCGTCGGCAGGCCAAACGAGGTGAAGGCGCCGGACTAGGGGTCATCCTAAGGTGCTGAAGAAGGTGTCTACTCGTGTCTCCAAGAGCTTCTACATATCAGCAGCCCTGATTCAAGGGTGTATGGCAGGTAAATTTGATGAGGCTGATTGCTACCAATCAATCAAAACCACGAAATCAGGCAAATTTCCCGGAACTGGTTAGCTACAGCTGATGTAATGGCTGACTAAGTCTCCTGTCTGAGGCGATGGAGCCGGGTTGCCTATTTGGGACATTACACGGATTAGTGAATCGAAACGTTCAAAGGAGAATAGGCTGCAATCAATCCAAAGGTGTGTGCTACTTGATGATAGTGAGCCTAACAGTATATCGCAATGGCATTGGCTCTCGCTCTTCGCCTGCTCCGCTCCAGATGCGTCCACCCTTCAACTGAACAATATCTTCTACAACTTATTACATTTCTGCGGTAAGGTATATACATCAAGCTCGCAAGGGTCACCGACAGCTTATACTGGAGGTGGGTTCAGGTCCAGCCCATCTACTGTCAGCTTGAAGGAATCATTGCGTGAATAACTGCCGGCTACGTCCAGATCCAACCGGCCGCGCTCACAATCCTCCACATCGATCTCTGTAATTGACAGCGCGGCTGCCATGGCTGGATCATTGGGATCGTTGGCGTCCGTCACATCATCCGTACTGACTTCCCAGATGGGCTCACTCAGGACTTCCCCTAGGGGTCCGACAATGCAGGAGCCGCCCCTACATATATATTCATCGCCATTGTGTTTGTCCTGGGAGTTGGCTGTGATCCATCCGGGCAGTTCCCGGCGTCGCACACATTGGTTGGCAGATAGAACGAACGTACGACCTTCTCCAGCCACTGTGCGCATCAACGGCAGCCACGTGTCGCGGGCATCGGCTGTAGGGGCCAGATAAAGGTTGACATTCTGGGAGTACAGGCTCTGTCGAAGCATCGGCATGTAATTCTCCCAGCAGATCGCTGCTCCGATGGTCAGCCGAACCCCATTAAGTTCGGTGGTGACAGCCTTGAGGGTAGAAGGCGATCCTTGAGCCCAGATCAGACGCTCTGAGGCTGTCTATCAGTCTCAGATTAGCATGATCAATACGTTCTTTTAGAAACAAGTTGCCTTCACTCACTGGCATTACTTTCCGACGCTTGCCCAAGGCGCCATCGCGCGGGTCGACATAGATGGCAGAACAATACAGGCTACCCCCGGCGCGCTCGATGACGCCACACACAATGAACACGCCCGTTTCGCGGGAGATCTTCTCCAGTGCCTCTCGGGTACCATCCCCGCGATACTCTTTGCCTCGTGGAAGGGGCAATCTCCGGTTCACCCAGTCGTCTCCAGCTCCGGTTGGGGTGTCGCCCAAGTCAACCGCGGCATGGAAGTATTCGAGGAATTGGTCGCGACCATGAGCGCCACGGGTACCAACCGCTGTGCCAAAGTCGCAGGTCCGGGGATAGCCTCCCAAGTACGCCTCCGGGAAAAGAATCAAGTGCACCCCGCGGGCTGCAGCATGGCGAGTCACTCGCTCCAGGGCCGCCAAGGTGGCTGCGAGAGTGCACTGGGTGCTGGCTTGCGCCACCGCGACCGTGAGCTTCTGCGGCATGTCGAATGTCGGGCTTTATGCAAGAAAAACCAAAGATCAGGGGACTTTGAGTCGTGATCAGAAAGAAGGAGAGCTGCAGATGGTATTTGCAGAAAGTCTAAATGCCCTCTCGTGCGGGGAAGACAGCAAGAATTAATAATGTACTCCGTCGGATATTGCGGGCCGGTCGGACCTTCAATCGGCGAATGCCTTCCGAACCCAGACCCAACGGATGCAGCTCAGAGTCCGGAGATAATAACCACCGGATATCATTACTTCCAGAGCTATAATGTCACTCCCCTTCAGATTGATTACAGCAGGACTTCCTGCCACAGCACCGCATCTCTTCAGCGGTATTCCTTCCCCTAAGCAACCTCGGTCACTCGATATTGACCAGTAAAGATGCTAGACCCAGTCACCCGGCTGATACTCTCCACATTCGAATCCCCCGTCAGTGTCCAAGTACTACTGCGATCCAGATACACAAATGCAGACCCTGTCGTGTTCGCCTGGTTCAGCGCGCCTGTCCAACTTGACCCGATCAGGTACAGATTGATGGCGCTGATGTCATCCACGTAGATGTCGCCGGTGACATCAATCCCCGAGAGATATATGTTGGCAGTGCCGCCGTTCTCTCCCGATATACCCCAATCACTGTCAGCAGTGATATTGGCTAGAATCCCGGATCTGATGGAGATGGCGATATCGGTCAGGTACACGTGGGCCTCGATGTTCGCCACAAAGAGCAAGGCATAGGTGCCGTTGGTCTCGGATACGGTGCCACCGTTCACATAGGCATAGGCGGTTTCCGTTGTGCTGCTCGATACCGTACTCACAATTTGAAACACACCATTGTTCTGCGTTCCGGAGGAAACATCACAGTCGGTCAAGGTAAACGAGTTTGCACCATCAATGCAAGCTACAGGGGCAATGGCTGATGTGCCAGTAAGGGAACGAACTGTAATATTTCCCGTGGAGTATACCAATGCTGAGAGGGCACCGTAGGTGTACGCAGCCGAATTTTCTACCATGATGAGGCCGCCGCCTTGGTCAGTGGCGATTGCACTGCCATGGCCATCATAAGTATAAATCTCAAGGTTCTCGCCGTAGATGGCTCCACCAGCGGTGTAGATGCCATGTGAATCATCTCCTGCTGCGTGAATATACACATTGGAGAGGTAGGCAGTGGTGCCGTCTTCATAGGTGTGTAGTCCATTAGCACTCAAGCCGTTAGTAGTGATGTTGCTGTCGGTGATATATACCGTGCCATTCGTCTCCAGACCGACTGCGGCATTCAGATCCGTGAAGGAGCTGTCATCACTGCTGGTCGTGTTGCCGGTCTTGATCAGTGTTACATCAGACAAAATAGCAACTCCTGTCTCTTTGACAATTATGACCGCTTCATCGGTTCCGGTGGCGGTCAGAGTCGATTCAGCAAACGTCTTGGTGCTTTCACTGACATAGTACGCAGCGGTGGTAGGCAGAGAACTGGTAGATGAGGTAGCCGCTGCTTTCAAGGCTGCCAGCAGATGAAGGGTTCCTACTATGAGGATACCCCACGGCTGAGGAGGCATGATAAGGGTAAAAGAAGGCAGGATGCAGATTCTGGTCTTGTGGATTCGAATGACTAACTGTTCCACAGACTGCCAGTCATGTTCTTGAGACCTGCGATGGCGGCTTATATGGGCATTCTGCGTGCAATATTCCCATTGTTTGGCAAATGCAATATCAAGTCGGGACGTGGTCCATTCATGTGCTTCGGGATTCTCCCCCAGGTAATTAGGAATCACTTGCACCATCCACGTGTGATGCATCAAATGAAAGACCCTGTGGAAGTGCCCACTTTGAAAATGTGGGGGAATAATGTGGAGAAGTGGATGTGGTTAATACACTTTCCTGCTTGCTTAACGTTTGCCCAAGGACCCCAGCTCTTGCTCACATGGCTCCCTAACTTGCAGTACATCCTGCTAAGCTATCGGTATCTGGGGTAGAAATCCCTGCAAATGGTTCTACTTGACCAATATATCCATCGGCCCCACGGCAGCTTTTTGCGAATGAAATTCGGAGTGTTCCTTCCCCCCTGCAAGAGATTTAATGAAGACGTCTTTACACGTCCCCAAAACGGGAGACTTTCTGTTTTATGCTTGTCATATAAGCTTTGAGTGGGCATAGCTCATGTGCAAGTTTAGGTCATATTGATTTTCCACTATCCTTATTGTCCTGATCAATGTCGGCTGTCGAGCAATTAAGCTTGATTAAAGTGATTGGGATGTGGAGCCGACAATGGAGACGCGGCCCTGTCTGTACCCATCCTCGAGACTCTTTTCACAAACCCGATCAATCATAACCAATCATGGTGCTTGTAATGAAGGGATGACGCGGCAGCTCTCTTTATAAGTCGTGCAAAAAGTGCTTGCAAGGCTAAGCTTTGAACATGAATTTATTGGCAGCAGCTGTCTGGGACTTCCTATAATAATCTGGGTACGCCCCCTCGTGGAATAGTCGATCCAGCGCATCACTCTCCAATCCAGCTAGTCATTTGCATTCGAAATGCTATCTCTTCTTCTCCTTGCTGCTCTCGGCACGGCCACGGTTACCCTCCACGATTCCAGCGACTTTGCTGCTCTCACCGCCGATGCAGCTGATGATGCATTGACGGCGAATTGGGACTACACCCCGACTACCTATCAAGTCAATGCTATCGTGGGGGCTTATGAATACTCTGATAAAACTGGTACTATCGAGCATGAAACGCTTGCAGTCTCTGCCAATGATACCAGTGTCCTCGTTATCACCGAAGGATCGGTCGTGAATGTCTCCTACTCCACCATTGTTAAGCACGGGTACTCCAGTGATCTCTACCAGTCCAGTTTCTTTGGCCTGAACGCAGCTGTTAATGTGGCCAACGAGTCTGTGGCAAATTTTGACCACGTTAACGTGACAGTGCACAACGGGGCAGCCAATGTCTATTCCTATGGAAATAATACTTATGTTTCCATCTCAGACTCGAGCCTGTACAGCTCCGGTCCAGTCTCGCATGGCCTGTATGCAGCAGGCTACGGTACCATTGTCGGCCGAAATCTAGAGCACTACTCCGGGGCTTATCGATCTTCGTCGTTTGCCGGGGACAGTCCCCAAGGCTACGTGTATGTGTACAACTCCGTTGCACATACGGCGGGCATTGGGAGCGCCATCATCTACGGTCAGGGCACCGTCTATGCCGAGAACATCGTGGGGTATGCCGAGCAGGCTCCCGTTGCCTTCTTAGATACCGCCCAGATTGACATCTACGATTCCGATCTTACTGCAGGCCTGCTGGCGGGAGCAGTGGTCTTTTCATCTGGGACACGGGGGTCTGGCTCGGAGATCAACTTCACCAACTCTCGCCTGACGGTTCTCCCTGAGGCGGCGGCAGCGCTTTGGTTCGGCAATGTTATCGCCAGCTCTCATTTGACAAGTACATCCATCAGCACCACGTCGGGCATCTTGGTCGTCGCCAATTACTCTCAGGTTACACAGGATTTTAGCTATTTCGCGGATTCTACAGCCGCTGCTGAAGCAACTGTCACAATATCCGAATCTGATCTGGAGGGAGACCTTGTGGCGTACAATGGCAGCAGTATCAGCTGGTCGCTGACGGAATACTCCTCGTGGACAGGTACAGCATACTCGGGCTATGGCACTTCGACCTTTGCTGTCTCACTGGATGTGACATCCACATGGACGTTGACCAAAGACACAGTGCTCAACAATTTCACTGACTCGGACCGGACGTTGAGCAATGTGTACAGTGCTGGGTACACCTTGTATTATGACTCGAGCGCAGCCACAAACCGATGGTTAAACGGGACAACCAAGCAGTTGACTGGTGGAGGCTCTGTAATGCCGGCAACAGCTGCGCAGCTGGCGGGATAATTTTACTTGAAGCGATAATTCCGAGAATCATGAAGGGCATGTTTTCTGTGGGAAGTTATTGCATGCAGTGGCCGTGATAATGTCTTGAATACCCAATCTGATATGGTTGTATAAAGCCCTCTACACCAGAGTGGGAGCTTCAGTTTAGTAGCTGATCCATTAGACCGCGAGAGGTGAAGAAATAGTATATCATATCATACTGATGAATGGCATGCTGTACGGCTAAGTAAGCAATTTGCGGGATGGATTGGGATTTGCCTCATCAATCAGCCCAGCCCCCCTTTTTCTTTTCCACCGTCATCTCATGATCGCGAACCCCACGCGACATTGATCCCAACCATGGCTTCCTCCCTCATTATCGGGCTCCCTAAAATTTATGCCAATCGGGGTTGTAAGTGTGTGCCTCCGACCAATGACTTCCTGCTTGGCACCTGGCATGTCACACACTCCAGTCTGCCGCTCTGGAAGGGCAAGTGCAATGTCAACATCACTTATCAGTTGCTTCCGCCGGATTCCTCCGGTATGGTCAGTATTGACGACCTGGTCCGATATCAGGTCATCGGGTCAGAGAAGATCAAGTCGGTTCATGGTGTGGACACCCCGACTCCGGGGAACCAAGGGGCCTGGGATTGGCGCGGCAGGGGTTGGCTGATGGTCGCGAGCTCGCACTGGGAATGCCTGGGCTTTGGCCAGACACTGGAAGAAGACAATCAATGGATGGTCACCTATTTTGCCAAAACTATCTTTACCCCAGCCGGCATTGACATCTACTCTCGCGATAAGAGAGGGCTATCCTCCACCATGATCGACGAAATTCTTCGAAGCCTCAAAAGTTTTGGTGTTGAGGAGATCACCGAGCTCGCCAGTATTATCTTCCCAATTCCGCAGATGTAGATTGGAAACCAATTGGAGGGAGGTGGGGGGCTTGTTGAACAATGTCACCCTAAAAGCGGACTTGTTTGGGCTGTCAACGCTTGTACTCCGTCCACAGTCACATCGGTGGGGTTCTGGCTTGCAAATTGCATCAACAGAACCGCGACCAGAATTGAGAGAGCGATCTTTAAGGTCAACAGTAGAGTGGATGGAGAAGTGGCCTGTTCCTTGCAGCTGGTGGGAAAGAATCGGACTCGGAAAAGATCATCGGACTCACGGGCGGGGTTTCAACCTCCACCGGAGCAAATCCCAAAAAGAATGCAGATCCTGCAGCAAAGCCAGCCAGAATCCCTGAAGATATATGAGACACGGTTGAGGTGGCACCGTCAGCAATATAATAACGGGCAGGGGATTTCTCCCCCAATCACCCGATCCACTCAATCCCCTCATCCGCATCATGTACATATTCCTAGTCACTTCCTGACCTGCTTGCCCCTGGCGGTGCGATACCTTTTCACCTTTGTATACTGCTTCTTGCCTGATATCGACTCTTAGCATCATGTTGGCGCAGGTCCTTCTTGCTTCCGTGGCAATCGCCAATGTTGCGACTGCATCGTTACAGATTGTGTGTGCCTGTCCTGCTGTAGTTAGACCTCGGAGAACTAATAGGGGCAGGTTCCGGGAGCGACATGGACTGCCGCGGGGACAAACCAGCATATTCAAGCTCATGGAGGTGGTAGGTGCTTCATAAATCCAGATGCAGACTCAAAATATTCGGTCGGACATCTCTCATTCTGTGATTTTCAGGCATTATTGAAGTGGACGGCACGTACTACTGGGCCGGAGAGAACCACCTGAACGGAAGCGCCTTCCAGTCCATCAACTGTTACTCCAGCACTGTGCGTCATCTCCGATTGGATAACTTGTAGCATGCACACGTGTCTGACGATGCTTTCTAGAACTTGGTCGAGTGGACGTTTGAGGGTGAATTGCTCTCCTTGCAGAGCAGTGGAGACCTGGGCCCCGACCGTGTCGTGGAGCGGCCCAAGATCATCTACAACGATGACACCTCCAAGTATGTGATGTGGATGCACATTGACGATAGCTCCTATGGCGAGGCGAAAACGGGGGTAGCCACCTCCTCAAGCGTCTGCGGACAGTACGATTATCTGTGAGCATTCGGCCCGTTGTCGTACCACAGGAGACAAACTCATATCGGGATTTAGTGGTTCGTTCCAGCCGCTGGGCCATCAGTCGCGCGATATCGGTCTGTACAAAGATGACAACGGAACGGCCTATTTGCTTTCTGAGGATGTAAGCCGAGCACCAGATATTCCGGTACGCAAAAATAAGCTAACCTCACAGCGTCCGAACGGTTTGCGGATTGACAGATTGACTGACGACTACCTCAACGTAACTTATACTACTCACCTGTTCCCGGAGCATTACGAGGCACCGGCCATCTATAAGCAGGATGGGGTCTATTTCATGTTCGGTTCGCAATTGACTGGTTAGATATCTCGTGATTCCCTCTCGTGATAGCCTCACTGACGATGTTTAGGATGGTGTACGTGGAATCCGGAAACAATAGGATCCTGTGTGACTACTGACATCTCATTCAGCTGCCAACGATAACAAGTACACCACTTCCACAGACCTCAATGGCACATGGAGTGATTGGAGTGACTTTGCAACGGCGGGGACGGACACCTATGACTCCCAGACCACCTTTGTGATGCAGGTTGGGAAGAGCGTGATGTGAGCATGGCTGGGGAAGTGAGTACACTCTTGTACTGACGACAGCAGGTACATGGGTGACCGCTGGGTCTCATCGAATCTGATGGCTTCGACATACATCTGGCTACCCTTGACATTGAGTGGAACCAACGCGACCTTGGTCAGATCCTCATGAGAAGCAACCTATTGATTTATTCCACTAACAGCGACCGACAGATTGATAGCTCCAACTGGATCCCCTCCACAGATGGCTCCTGGTCATCCGGGGGCGACGAAACCGATCCCGAAGCTGAAGCATCCACCAACGTCCTGTCCAACGGAGCGAAGGTTATCTCGTGCAGCGGGTGCTCGGGCGACGAGTCTGTTGGCTGGATTGGAGGGTCCGACAATGGGACTCTTGAGATGCGTAACATCTCCAGTGACGCGTCGACCACAACCACCATTCAGGTGCGGTATGAGAACGGGGATTCTACCCAGCGCTACGCCACCGTCACAGTGAACGGCAAGTCGCAGATTTTGGCATTCCTGCCGTCCGATAATGGAAACACGCCGGCCACGTCGGTGCTGAACGCCCAACTAGAGAGCGGCGATGACAATATCATCACCTTCAGCGCCTATGAGGAGGAATACGGTATGTCTCGTCGCGTAGAAGATGGGCAGAGATGCCGCTAACTAATATCTTCCGGGTAGGTCCTGATATCGATCGGTTGCTTGTGCCCGAGGAGTAAATTACTTCCGGACAGCTTGAGTGATGAGGATGGGTACGGCGGGGAGAGGGGTTTCAGATGCAGGACAGCAGACCAGCAGAACAATTTTTGAAGTACATAGAAATTGCTGCTCTATGGACCTTATAGCTCAGAATCTTTAAACCACATTCATCCCGTTGTGTAGGCGTGATGTGAATGTGTCCTTATCTCCCTCGGCCATTCTAGAGCTCTCGGGGCGCCCCGAGCGTCCGAGCGTGACGGCCCAGCCCCGAATCACTCCTCAAGTCTTGAACCATTATACCACCCAGATCTTCACTGATCATGGCAGGCTAACATACACCTCTGGCAGTGGGTCTCCAATGATATTTATCTGCTCCATACCCTGGACGGGATCTCTTCGTGTGGAGTGTTCCACCGAACAATGCCAGCGATGGGACACTATCTGCTCGGCGGCATTTAATGCTTTCGGGGCTGATGTCCTCGGCGCCGCCTCGTGTCCTGGATTCCCCAGATCTTCCCCCGCATTCCCCAGATCAAGCTTAGTCTGCTCGGGGAGTGGACATGGACTGCGATTTTATAAAGCCCTCCAGAGCACGCTGCGATGCAGCGGCTTGTTATTCAAGCAGGAGTGTCTAGCAGCATGGCCGACAAGAAGATTGCCGTCGACTGCATCGAGCATGCTGACCAGGTTCTGGTGGACGAGGCCGGTCGCATTAAGCGTCTCCCGGTACCAAGTGACGATCCCAATGACCCCTTGAACTTTGCGCTGTGGGAAAAGGCAGGCATCGTAGTGTGCTGCTGTTGGTTCTGTGAGTCTTTCTTTCTTCAATTACGAACGTCAAGCTTATTTCCCCAGCTATCATGTCACTCTCCGTCATTGGAGGTCTGGGTTCAGTCCTGGATGTATTCTTTCAAATGTATGGCGCAGAAGGTCACAGCACCAACCAGGTTGTCTGGCTCTCCACTTTCCCTTCACTGTTTGTGGGAATTGGTAAGGTATCTTTCCCAGTTCTGTTACCACCAGCAACTTACCGACGTCAGGGAACTACATAATCCTGCCGCTAGCCCTTGTTTGTGGGCGTCGACCAGTGATGCTCATTGCCAACACCGTTCTGCTGGGCTCGTTGATTGGTTGTGCCTTGTCGCAGAACTGGGCCCAGCATTTCGGGTTGCGTGTCTTATTAGGTTTCGCGACAGGAGCGACCGAATCGGTGTGGCAGTCGTACTTCTGTTTTCTTTTGTTGCTGATCTAACCTACAATAGCTTCTTCCCTTGATGTTGGCAGAGGTGACCTTTATCCACCAGCGCGGCACGATTTACGGCATCTACTGGGCAACTCAAAACATCGTGACGAGTCTTCTGACGCTAGCCAGTTCGTACGAAGTGGCAGCGCTGGGCTGGCGCTGGTTTTACTGGGTTTTTGTTATAACCGTTGCCGTTGGGCTCGTCCTAGTGGTGTTTGTCTGCTTCGAAACGCGGTTCCAGCGTCGACCGATCTTCCTGGGCAACAATGCCGTCGTCACCGACCAATATGGGGTGACCCGAGTCCTAACTGTCCCAGAAACCCAAGAATACCTGGCTAGTGAAGAGGGTCGCTTCTACGCGGACCTTGGTGGCGACACTCCTCCCAAGAAGACCTACCGCCAGATGCTTAACGCTTGGCCACGCCCCTGCCCTCATCCGATACGCAACGTTCTGCTCACCTGGTGGCAGATGCTGGAGACCTTCAGCTCGCCCGGCATTATCTATGCCACACTTCTCTCCGCTGTCATTCTAGGCGGATCCGTCGGTGTCTCTCTTACCTATGACACGGTCTTGCAGTATAATTACGGCTGGAGCGCCGCCAGCATTGGCCTCATCAACTTAGGGGGTGTATTTGGCGGGCTGGGCGGCATGCTCTACGCCGGGATCTTGGGCGACCGTGTCATTGTCTGGTTGGCCCGGCGCGCCGGAGGTGTTCATAAGCCCGAACACCATCTTCTCTTATTGATCTTCCCCGGGCTCTTGGCAGTAGCCTCGTTGATTTTGTATGGGTTCACCGCTAGTGGCAATGCCACTTGGGGTGGGCCGTTCATGGGCTGGACACTCTACCAGGTAGCCTTCGTCTCGACACTCATTCGCACGACATCGTTTGCCACCGAGGCATGGGAAAAGAATCCGGGTCCAGCGTTGGTGACGGTCGTGGGGACGAAAAATATCATTGGATTTGGAGTCAGCTATGGCTTGAATCCGATGGTGGCCAAGTATAGTTATCCGGCAGCCATGGGGATTCTGGCCGGGGTAGTAGGTGGCATTCTGCTCTTGGGGATTCCAGTCTACTTTTTCAATCCGATGGTCAGTACTCGCTTCTTCCCATTGCTCTTTCGAAAGTGCAGTCTTGCTCACTTGGATTCAGTGGAGACGGTATATCAGCCAGCAACGGACTCGAAGCCAGGGGCAGCTTGGAGGGCCGTAGTGAGGGGGACGAATGGTTTTGTACATAAGTTTCGAATCAAAGGATGTGCTTTGTTCGCTAGTAATGTTCTTATCGTTCGTATCCGCAGAATATGCAATGCCCAGGCGATACGATTCTTGATGTTCCCTCACAAACATATCATCTCGCATCTGACTACAATCCCCCATAGCTAGGCAAACCGGATGCTACGAATACAGGCCCCCTCCAATCTCGTCTCACATGGCCATCATGTTGATTACAGCGTTGGTAGTCGGGAAGTGGGGGATCTACAACAGCTCCTTCGGGGCATGACCGTGCATTTCGGAGGCACCTTCGGCTGTTCGGTGCTGTCCGAGACGCCCGGTTTGCTATCATCCGAGCACAGACACTAACCAATTTGCCTGGACTTGCA